ACCCTCTTAGATGAACCTTGGCTAGATGTAGAACAAGCACTCTGTAATAATCTAGAGATCTCAGACATACCATTTATGAGCTCAAACATCCAACGACATGAATGCTTTAAAAGCATCAACATCAGCTCTTCTCTGACAGCATGGTGGGAGTTTCTAAAATTGACGGCGTCTTCATTAATCCCATGCAAACGTACACCTATCTGGAACAACCCTGACATATTACAAAACAATAATATGATAAACTTTTCAGATTGGAGTGATAAAGGAATCAAATATTTAGAACATATACTAGAAGGAACAGAATTTATTTCATTTGACGGACTAGTTACACAATATGGGATCAACAAGAAAAGATTTTTAGAATATCAACAAATTAAATCCATAGTAAAAAAGAAATTTAAACCGGGTCAAGTTGAACTACAAACACCACCAAGTGTGGTTCAATTTCTTACTCTTAAACCCCCCAAATTACTATCCAAAATATACAGAATGCTTTCTAAAACAGATGAATCAATATCACTTCCTATTGCAAAATGGGAAGCGGATTTATCAGTTAACTTAGACCTAAACTTCTGGTCTCAGATTTGCTTAAAAACCTTTCATCTAATTAGAAATCCCAGTCTTCAATTAATTCAATACAAAATATTACATAGAGTGCACTATACAGGTCATCGGATGTTCAAGATGGGCTTTACGTCTACCAACAACTGCTCACACTGCCAAACCAATTCACCGGACAATTATATCCACGCTCTTTGGTTCTGTCCACCAGTTCAGAAGTTTTGGTGCGAGATATGTGAAGACTTATCGAAGTGTCTGAAATGTAACATTCCAACTTCCCCCTTAGTGTGTTTGTTGGGCAGCTTAGATAATGTCACTTCAGAAAAGAATATCGCCCATATGGTTTTCACTGCCCTATGCATAGCCAAGAAAACAGTCCTCATGAACTGGAAAAATAAAAATAATCTTAATTCTAACCAATATAGAAATTATCTATTAGATTACATTAGTCTTGATACAGCCTCTGCCACCACATCAGATCAATTGCTCTGGGCTCCTTTGATCAGCTCCATCACCTAGTGGGGGTGGGGGGTCATAGTTTGGTCCCGCCTTCACTGTTGTGATTGGTGTGGGGGTAGGGACAGGCTTAGGGCGTCGGGGGGTTCCCCGGAGGCATCTTCCTTGGGGGGCTCAACCCGGGGTAGCGGTCATGTCCGGTTAGGGGCTCTGTTGGCTCTCCGGTGACTGTTTCCTCGCGACTGCGTGCAGCGGGGCTAGGGGAGGGTCTGTGCTGACGGACGTGGGTTACTGACCTGGTAGCCTGGCTGCCCCTGGGTGGGTCCGGGATGGGCGTGAGGTTCTGGGGGCGCTCCGTCTCTGGGCTGGGACCCGGACCGGGCCTCGGGGGCTTGGGTCCTGGTTGGTGTGTTGCCGGGGTTGTGGGCGGGTGGGTGCATGGGGGCCCAGCCCTGGAGCAGGGTGCCGCCGGTGCGTCGAGCCACCTGGGGGGCTCTTCAACTGGTGGGGGAGATTGTCACATCTTGCAGGAGCTTTCCTCTCCTCAGGAGCTGCCTCTGCAGGAGGGGGAGATACAGGAGAGGTGGAGGAAGATCTCAGCCTGGGTGTTTATTGTCTTATGTAGTCTGGAAGATGAGTGGATGGTGGGGTGGGTGCAGTTTTCTCTGTGGTGGGGTTGGGTGGACTGTCCCGGGCTCTGTGGGGCCGGGCGGCGCTGCTGCACTGGGCCCGGTCTGGATGGGCCTGGGCCCCCTTTCCCTGGCGGGTCGCGGAGTATGGGGGGTGCCTACTGGGGTCAGCGGGGGAGCTGGCCCCAGGGAGGGGTCACTTGCCCCTCCCTTCCTTCCCTCCCCATCTCCAGCTGCCTCCCTCTTCCCGCTCCACCACAACCACCCACACATGCAGGGCCTTGGAGTAGGGGTATGTCACCAGGGTGCAGAGGAGGCTACCCCCCCCCCCCCCCCCCTCTGTCCCCTTCTGGCTGCCTCTGCCTCAATTTTATCCCACAACTTAGACATTCACATTACTCACACTCTCATTACACATACATATAGGATCTTGGGGGTGGGCACGATACACGGAGTCCAAAGTACCATCAGGGTGTACACCCCACCCCTGGCATCGTTGCCCACCTCTCAATTTTAAATACACGTGGACATTGAGGGCTAGCAGGAGGGACCATGCGCTTACCTGCTGCTCTCTGGCAGGTAGCTCCAAGCCCTCCTGGGTTTTAAATGCACCTTAGAACACACATGCATCAACATTACAATGAGCGGGTGGAGGGAGGTTCGGAGTCTTCTCTCACCCCCGTTCTCTGCGACCTGCTGGAGCAGGGGGGCTAGGACTAGGAGGAGGAGTTGACCGTCCGACTGCGGTCTGGAGTGTGGAGCCTTCCTGCTGCTGCGAAAAGGGAAACACCACCTGGGTCTGGGTGCAGTTCCCCCCTCCAGGGGCGGGGGCACCTAGACCCGGTTTGTAGAGTACGCTTGGGGAGTGTGATCGTGTGTACAACGTCTCTTTATGTCTGTCTCCACGTTGGTTGAGTGTGGAGTAAGTGCATATGAGAGCATGAGGGTGGGAATGGATGTTTGTATCTGTGTGTGCCTGTATGTCTGTGTCTATATGTCAGGTTGGGTGTCAGGCGCCACCTCTCTGGGGACATCTCAGGCCCTCCAAGGTTTGGAGGCCTATCTCCCCCTACCACCACTTTCCCTGCCAGTGGCGGACCCCCTCAGACATCGGTGCGTTGGTGGTTCTTTGTGTCCGGGGATGGGCGTCCAGCTGGCTGCCGGCGGAGCTCACGGGCGCGTCACTGCAACTCCCCCTGGCTTCTGCTCCGCGGCTGCTGAGTGAGCCCTCATCTGGGACTCTCCTCAGCTCTTTCCGGGACAGTGGCGCAGCTGCCCCTCTGTTGGTCTTCCTTGGTCTCTTGTGTTCTGGGGGCCTCTGGATGTCTGGAGTTTTGATCTCCTCCACACCTGCTTCACGCCCTGGAGGACGGGGCTGTGGCCCCCCCACACCCTCTAGCAGATTATTACATGAAGGAACCTTTTAAAAAAAAAAAAAAAAACAAGCGCGTCCATGCTCACAGGTGTACACACTGGTGATCACACCCACAAACTACACCCTTTTTGGCTCCTACCTCAAAGCACACTGTGTTCTGTTGATCTTATGTGCTGCACAATAATGTTTAACATTTAGTATTTACTGTCATATTCCCATATATCATTGTGATGTTGTTTATTCTATTACTCTTGTTCTCTTCTGCTTGCTTTCTTTTTTCTTTCTCAGCAGGTGATCCAGGTGATTGATATATGCATTTTTTTTTCTCTGCCCGTTCTCTTGGTTTTTGTCTTTTGCCCTTCTCCCCCGTCCCTCTTCTCAGCTGTTTCTCTTTCCCTCTTTCTTTCTCCCCTTCTTTCCCCCAGTCAAGTCTGTCCCGTATTCAGTAAGTGAAAATAAAATAAACAATAAAAGGTGAATCAAATGTACCATTACGGCAAGGCTGGGATGGTCAGTTTGGTAAAGTAAATCCGTTGGGCATCTTTCTTTGCCTTTAGACAACAATTCTGATGGCAAAAGAGCCAAACGGGACAGGCCAAAAAAAAAAAAAATCTAAGGGTTCTAGGAACTTTTACATTTTCAGTTGTAATTATAATATACCAACATTTTTTATTTAAGCTTCTAGGAATTTTTTGCACTTTTGAGTGCAAAACATGAGTACTTTTGTACTCACATTTTGTATTATTCTGTCTTATTCTATCTCAATTTTTCTCCACCACGAGCATGGCCAAAGAGCTGTCAAAGGATGTTAGTGACAGGATTGTAGAGCTGTGCAAGGCTCGAATTTGCTACAGGACCATCATCAAGAAACTTGGTGAGAAGGTAACAACTATTGGTGTGATTATTTGGAAATGGAAGAGATCTAAAACTATCAATCTCGCTTGGTCTAGAGCTCCATGCAAAATCTTGCCTTATTAAAAGAGTGCCAGATCACCTGAAAACTACACTGGAGGAGTTTGTTAATGATCTGAAAGTAGCTGGAACCACAGTCACCAGGAACACCATTGGTAATGCACTACAGCATAATGGATTGAAATCTTGCAGCAACCGCAAGGTTCCAGTGAACAGCTGAGTGATTTAGACAAGGCTTGGGAGAAAGTGTTGTGGTCGGATGAAACTAAAATCGATCTCTTAGGCATTAAATGTGCCTGCTGTGTTTGGGACTTTGGGGCTATTTTTTCTGTTAAGGGTACAGGGTCCCCAACACACTGGATGGGGCCATGTACCATAAAATATTGGACAAAAACTCCCTTCCTTCATCCAGAACACTAAAGATGGGTCATGGTTCTTCCAGCAAGGGAAAGAGAACTTGTCTCCAGACCACTATCCTACAGAAAATCTATGGAGGGGGCTGAAGCTTTAAGTTGCCAAGCAGCAGTCAAGAAACCTAAAGGATTTAGAGTTTCCTTAATTGGGGAGTGAGACAAAATCCTTACTGAGACACGTGCAAACTTGGTGATCAGCTACTACAATAAACATCTTACTACTGTACTTAGCAACAAGAGTTTTTCCACCAAGTACTAAGTCATGTTTTGCTCGGGGATTAAATACAAATCAATTTCTAACTTTTGTATAATGTGGTTTCTTTTTTTCTGGAATTTCTGGTTGATATTCTGTCTCTCCATAAAAATTAGAGACTGTTCATTTCTTTGTAAGTCAGCAAACTTAACAACACACCAATGCATGGTACTCACTTTACCTGAATAACCTTTGGAGTGTAAATTTTGACTGGTAATGGAGTATTTGTTATTTTCACTCACTTTAAGAAGCTTTTACTGGAGTCACCCCCGAGGATCTATATTTTTCTTCCGCCACTGAGGAAATTCAGCATTATTAAAAACTGTTGGCGTCATGCAGTAATCGATGCTGCTGTTTGATGCTAAATGAAAAAAGAGCAGTGATCATGATTTGAGAGCTGTGAGCAGGTCTAGTGACGCCGTGCGGCTGCATCAGAGCAGGGGCGCAACGCGACAGCTCGCAGGAGACGTTTCTGTTTTTTTCTGCTCCCGTTAATTTTTACCACAGCGGGTCCAGCGTAGATCCACAATGGAGACCAAACCGGTCATCACCTGCCTTAAAACTCTCCTCATCGTGTACTCGTTCGTATTTTGGGTAGGTAGCCTTTTTCTATCCTCTTAAACACAAAAGAAATACCCTGCGGAGGAAGATGTCAGTCCATCTCAATCCGCCGCTGCTCTGTTTTTGTTGTGCGCGATGAAGGAGTGGACAGTGCCAGCATCATCGACGGATCCATTCCGTCGTTTGAATAAACGCTCAATTTTGATATTAATCCACACAGGTGAAATAAAGCCGCCTATTTCGGCGTCTGTGGGACATTTGTTATCTACTAGCGGGCTATGTAACGGGGGTTAAGGTTACACACAGCCCGTTTTGGCTGCTGGGCGTCAGTGCGTAGCTTATATCACATATAGCATCATGGTTGGTATCAGTTAGCGAGGTGGATGATGTTAACATCACTGCGATGGTTTAACTCCGGCGTTAAGGGCCTGGTCTGTGCAATGAGGCCCTGGTTAGAGCCCATTTTCCCCGGCCACATACTATAGGTTTCGGGGTCGCTGGTATAGATTCTTAAAGGGCCCTCGCACCGTCGGTGTAGCCTCAGTGGTGGAATTTATTTTTACTTCATCGTCAGAAACAAGTGCACATGATGCTACTCTGTTGCGCTCCAGACTCAAACGTTACATAAAGGACTACAAATTATGAATAAACTACCAAAAATATGCGATTAGCTGATTCATATTAATGCGTGAAGGCATCAAATTTAAAACGAGTCATTGTGTACTAATTACTTATTACTAAAGGTGGCGCTCACCAGACATCCCGCTATATTATCGTCGCAACACTTCACTCTACCATATTGCGATTTTTAAAAAATTATTTTTTACATTTTGTGATGTTCATTTTATTTATGTAACGGTAAAGGCCCTACAGTAATACAGCGAAATCCCCAACAATCAGACGCCCCTCTGTGAGCAAGAGATTTGGCAACAGTGGGAAGGAAAAACTCCCTTTTAACAAGAAGAACCCCTCCACCATAACCAGCCTCAGAGTGGAGCAGCCATCTGCCACGACCAGTTGGGGGTGAGGGTAGGAAGACAAGACAGAGGACGTGCTGTGGAAGATAGCCAGAGATTAATAATATCTCATAATTAATTGCAGAGTGGTGCATAAACACTCGGTGAGAGAAAGACAAACACTCAGTGCATCATGGAAATCCCAAGTAGTATAAGTCCGTTAGAGAATAACTAAGGGTTGATTTAGGGTTTATGATATTAAATATTGCGATTTTACGATCGCAAATAAGGTCCTCAAAGTTAAACACTCAGGATCTGTTTTATCCAATAAGATAACGTTATCTCACTTCTTTTTGTCTTCAAAATGATATTGTCAACACTCTGACTAAAACCTGGAATAAATGTTGTAAGACAGCATCAGGGGCTCAAGTTAGCAATTACATGCAATCTGTTTCTGATAATACAGCGTTTATCGGTGATAAATGATCAAAAATCACACATCCTTTGCTGTCTGCATAGACATAAACCCACATTTAACTATTATATTTGTGCTCACCAACCTTTCTGTTCTACAGGAATGTAACCAGGATACAACCAGGGGCACCAAGTTGTGTCGAAACTGCACTAATTGATAAAGAGTCATTCAGACTGATGGTAGCATGTTGGCAACCTGTCTGCATTTATAAATTAGACAGCAATTTGAGATTAAATGCAGTCAGTCTGAGTCAGACTGCGACTGCCTGCAGAAAGATTGCCTCCTGTCAGATGAGACGAGTCTTCTTCTTCATAGTGTTTTAATTTATTTATTTATTTTGTGTCTCTGTACTATGCTGTATCGATTCTTGTCCTTATCCCTATTTTTTACAATGTAGGAGTCTTGCTTGTGATGACATATTTTGGCATTATGTAGCGCTGTGAAATACTCAACTGCAGAGCAAAAATGAGCTTAGAAAAGTAAAAGGTCTGTAAGCTCTGTCAGCCTCACATTGTTTTACCGCTACTTCATAATTATTGCTGTATTTCAGTGTTGCTGTTTGAAGCAGCAGAACTAGTTCCACTCATTTAAATGTAGATTTGTGTGGTTTAACTAACCACATAAAAACTGTTGTGTGTGTGTTTTATATGCGCTTTGTCAGCTTTTAAATCATAATCTGTAGAGCTGCATAACAAATATAAGTGCGGTGTAGTCAACAGGATAGTATTTCTATCTGAAATAGTGGATTGTAAATACACAGTGGCAGTGTCATATTGAGATACAGCGTTCCTGTTAGCAGTAAAATACCTGTTAGCTTTAAATGTGACGTTAATGCAGATACTGCTTATTAGTTTTGTTGACTCCCTGTTTTGTTGTGGTTGTGAAAGGATGTAAATATCCAGCACTTTGCTGAAAGCGGTGATGCAATAAGCAATTACTCCAAATTATTGTTTTATGTAGCAAACACTTAGAAAAAGAGTATTTTTTGTCTGCCCAACAGTCCATAAACTCAAAATATTCAGTTTAATATAACATAAAGAGGGAAATTCATTAAATCCTCCCACCGAAGAAGACAGAACAAGATATTTAATTTATATTGAAATATCATTCAAATGTGTTTCAATATACATCAGTCAATAATATATAGACTACATAATTGTTTTAGGGTTTTTTTATTTTTCCAATTTCAGTTGCTGGCTATGCAGAAGAGTTGTAATTTTAGGGTTGTCCTTTGGGTTTGTGCTGTTGTGTTGTATGATACAGTGCTGTGCAAAAGTCTTGAGCCATCTCTTATATCTTTCTTCTTTTTTTTTCTGAGCAGCCAGACCTTCTTGTCATTTTTTTAAAAATGACTTCCTGAAGGTCTTTCAGAGTTTGTCATTGGACACTGGCTGCCAGCCCATGCACCTGACCATTTTCAGAGGAATATTTTTGTTTGTTAAGCCACAAAATAATTACCAATGAGCAGTGTTGGGTAAGTTACTTTAAATTAGTAACTTAGTTACATTACTAGTTACTTCTCTCAAAAGTAACTCAGTTACTTCAAGTTACTCGTTACTTTCAGAGTAACTAGTTACTAGGGAAAGTAACTTTGGTTTTACTCAGAATTCTCTTGTTAATGTGTTGCTTCCATAACTTTGCCAGTCTTCTAGCTTGCTTACTTGCCACAAGTGCACTGTGCCACCTACCAATAGAAAGGAAAAGATAATGTGCACATTTCCACGAGAGAAATCCCACGCCTAGACCGTTGTTGACCGCCGCTATGATTCTAGCCTACGTCACAGCGTCATGTGCGCTTTTTACATCCAACACAAAAACTGCAGTCGTGGTGCTTTCGATTGTACTCAGAACTCGGAAATTCTGCCTTCTGAATAGGAAGATGTAGGTAACACCAGACTGCAGATGAGCTGCATACAGGGCTGGACTGGGACAAAAAAATCGGCCCAGGACATAGGAAAAATCATAAAGCCTTTGAATGAAAACAAACACTGTTGTGACAGTGATGTACACTGTTTTCATGGTATATATGTATCAATGTATCAATCTATCAATCGTTTGTTGTAAGACTCAGATAATTATTTTTTAAAAGCGAGACATTTTAAATGAGAATAAGAAAGTATTTCTTTGTGCCCCCCTTTCCCTGTTAATGCCCTACATGGCCCCCTGGTAAGACTTTGCTAGACCCGCCCCTGCACAGTTACCAGCTGTCAGCTACATGAAAAAAGGATCCTGGTGTTATTTGTCTCTCAGAAACAGTTCATAACTTCCCTTCAACTCATTCATGTCACCTAAAAGGTAAACCTGTTTCTCCATCACAGCTCTGATGATTCAGTAAGGACGTCTCTTGGTTTCATCTTCATGTTTCCCTCTCATCACATATTCAAACCGACATCATGACCAGCAGGTTTACAGCTGTGGCTCCATCAAACATCAGCTGATACTAGAAATTAATATTAATTAAATTCTAACATCAGCTGATCAAGCTTAAACGTGCTGCTGTTGTTTACCGCGACATCCGCTGGTTTCGCCTTTCTGTGGGCGATAAACAAACAAGAGAGAAAAGTCGATCAGCTGATCATTGATCAGTTTAATGATTGAAGTAGAAACAGGAGAGGGAGGGTGAGAGGATGAGAGGAGAAGAGGCAGCTGTGCAGCAAAGACACAGAATAACTCCACCTTTGTATCTTTTTCATTGTAGCTGAAGTCCGGGACAAATCACGTCCCTTTTAAGCTCAATATGAAACGCGTAATATTTTCTCTGAATATGAGATGATTCCGTTTTTAGGGGACGGTTGGCAACTCTAATATTTAACCTTATGAACAAAACAAAGTTCAACATCAGTAACATCATAGCACCCACCCAGCTGTATAGAAACTCCCTCATGCTAGCTAGTACCCAGTAGGAAAAAGTCAGCACAACGAAAATAAACTTGGTTTATGTCTGACCCAGATGGACTGCAGGTCATAACTTCTTACCTGAAGTTCAGTTCACCTGACACTCGGACCGGCAGTCGCTTCGGGTCTCTCCTCTTGCCTCCCCGTTCCCTCATCCACCTGCTGGCCTCCACCACTTGCTAATGTTATTGAATCTGTGGAAGCTCCGTGATAGCCACCACACGAAGTAACGAATAACGAGCCCATCTAAATCCCAGTAACGAGTAACGCGTTCCTGGTTTTGGCATAATAACTAGTTACCGTGCTCATTATCACAATAATAACGTAGTTACTGTAACGCGTTACTTAATAACGCGTTAGTCCCAACACTGCCAATGAGTCATTCAACTATAATAAAAGGCACCTAACTCACTTTGTTAAAGCACTTGATTTATTACCATTTATTTATTAATGAATCCATGAAAAATGCCTAAAAGGCTGTCAGGAACTAGACTAAAAATCAGTGGCAACACATCTTATAGAACAATAAATAAAAATGTGAAATTTTTGGTTAAGATCATGGACAATATGTACAAAACAATGAGTGTCTACAGCCATCTGTAAAACTCAGCGGAGGCTCTGTCGTGGTTTGGGGTGGCTTTTTCGCCAGTGTTGTTAGAGATCTTGTCATGGATGGGCCTCCCCAGAGCCCGGGCCTCAACAAGAAATAACAAGAAAACATATCTAAGAGGGGTCAGGCTGTGTTGAAGCATAAAGGTTGTCATACCAAATTCAAGCTTGTTAGAGTTGTTTGAATATTTTACACGCTTAATAATGAAAGCGCAAATACAAATTATGCAAACCAACACAGCGCTACAAAAGCCTTAAATTTGTAGTGCACAATCAATATTTCTGCCAGCTCTTTTTTCACTAGGGTGTTAAGCTGCAAACTCTTTTTCCGATTCGAAAATAATACAAAAAAAATTGATTCTGCTCAGTTGTATTTAACACTCCTTATACTACTTTTCCCGAGGATTTGAAACGGCAGATCACTCAAGGAATCGCTAAAACCAAATTTTGAGATAAATTTGTTTGCGATTAATCCGTGAAGTGAGGAGTGAAATGCTATCTGTTTGATTTGCAGTGCTTTGGATTTTCCTCTGTTTACCTTTTGATTATCAGCCCAGTCTTCAAATATGATCATGCAGGGAACAGTACAAACATAAGGCAGCACTGAACACAGTACTGTGTGACTGATCTTTTTTAGCCATAATTGCGCATTACAGACTTATTCCCGTCTGTCTTTTTGGTAGCAGCCAGATATAGCCAGGGGGAAATGATCTAAAAGCTCCCCTCTGCACTCACCCTGAACATTCACCCTAGAAAGCTAAAAAAGAAAACCCAAAAGCTTCAATACTTTCCTTTGAGCAAAACCTGAATAAATCCTAACTGAATTAACCCTAACTTTGTAGAACGTCGTTAAAGCTGAGATCAGCCCTTCGAGTTAGGATCTGTAGTCGAAAAACTCTTGAATAGAAGAGTTGTGCTGTGTCTTCCTACATTGTAGACATGCACCGGTGTCACGCGTGTGAACTTTTATATTTAGTCTGGATTGGATGGTCTTTTAGCACTCCCTTACATCAACAGCTTCAGGTTTCATGCTTCGTGCGCCAAAAGTGCAGAAGAGTCTCGCGGCTCACTGGGTGTCCTCAGCCCCTTAGGGCAGAGCTCGGAGAGAGCGCTGGCACCACATTTAGTGCAGAAGAAGTGTTTCTATGGGTTTCTCGTGGCAAATAATGTCATAATTGGGAAGAACACACATACATGGGTGTGCACATACTGGGCTGGGGAACGCAGAGCAGGTGGTGGAGTCATATATTTTGTCATTGCACCTTCTGTTTCTTTATGAGGCCGATGAAGGGAGGAGGAGGAGGGAAGAGAGAGGAGGGTGACCTGTTTTAAACTCTGTGCTGGAACCAGGGTGGCCAGTCGGGCATTGAATTTCAAACAAAACACCCGAGGGTGGGTGGGTGGAGGGGGGTGGAGAAGGAGGAGGAGGCAGAGGTGTTTGAAATTCAGCAGCAGAAGTGAAGTCGAGACGATTTTGCCCCATGCTTCTCTGACTTGATTTCCCAGTTGACTTTAAAATTAGCACTTTAGCAGTGACAAGATGATCATTTATTGGTATGCAGCGGCAGCGGCTCTTTTGAGGAGAGACATTTTGTCGCTGATGGCCATAAACAGTGAGTAGATCGTCATCAAGAGGACTGTTCTCCGGAATGACAGTCTGCTCTGGCTATTAGATTCACTGTTAATAGAAAGAGTAGCTGTCATTACTAAAGAATCTAATCATCAGCCCGCAGTCCTTCAGTTCAGCTGAGCAGGGAACTGAAAAAAACAGCTTGCTTACATATGTTAAGTTGCATCAGTTTAGCCAACACTTTGTACCTTCTTTTATTAGGTCTGCTATTATGACAGTATAATAGCAGGCCTGTCCCATTTAGTCATAGTGTTTAAACTTTTGCATCTGTGGAGCCTCTTAAAAATGCTGCTTTTTTTCTCCTTTCCACATTTCGAAGCCCATATATCTTTCTTTATATCACATTGTGTTATCTGAATGCTTTCAGTGTCCTCTGGTTTTCCAGTATAGATTTAAATTGAGAGTGCGGAGGGGAAAAAAATAGATTTTATGAACCAGAAATGTTCTCTCCACTGTATTGGCTTTCAGGGGGTAATGTTGCAAATCACTGTCCACAGCTGCTTTATGGCACTATTGGATTTTTAAAATGATTTTTGCATCAGTGAAGTGATGAAGTGCATTTCTTTGTCAATTATTTAATTTGAAGCGTCCATCTATAAAGTGTCCGAAAACAGTCTCTCAACAAAATGTAATTGCGTCGATTATTATCGCATTACAGAGGTAGGCGAATCGATCATTTTTTGCTGATGGTCTAAAGCAGGCGCGTCAAACATACGGCCCAGGGCCCAGAATCGGCCACGCAAAGACTCCAATCTGGTCCACTGGATGACTGAAAATATGATGTCGAACATAAATTTTTGTACTTTACAAAAATGACAAGTTTTACCGCTTGTTCCTCTGATAAAGACCTCCTCCACAGCCATTCATAAGGCACCAAAGCAGCGAAGTAATAGATAAACAGTTAAATGACTGTTTTTCACTGTCTATTATAGAGATTTCTGTTAAGAAAAAGAAGAAAATGTTCATCAATCAAGAAAAACAAAGAATAATAATAATAATATAGTTTCACTTGTCCGGGCCACTTAAAGTCAAAGTGGGCTGTACAATTAAAAATGAGTTTGAAATCCCTGCTCTGAAGTCTCTCATTTGTAGAGTGTTCAATTCAAGTTCATAAGGGCGACAGACAGCCATGCATATGTCACAGAAAGTTGCCTAAAAATGTGTTGAATTTTATTATTTAGTCAAGATTAAATGACTGTAAAAGATTTCTGTTTTAAGGTATTTCAAAAAAAAAAAAGATCATAGTTGTCAAATGCCATCCTGCTTTTGCTCTCCACATGGACTGTTTACCTGCAAGCCTGCTCGAACATAATTAGTTTACATAATATAGTCAATAGAACCATAAGCACACACAGATGGAAACCAGAAGGCTTCTGCTGCCAAAAGTCTTTTTCCTTGCCTACTTACACCTGATTATACATATAATGAGCATTACTCTATTACTAATAATTGGATGAGTGTATATAATATGAGTTGTAGTGATGAAGCCACAGAGATTCTGCAGCTCTTTAGCGTCTTTTAGCTTTTTGTTTTGTGACTTTAACAGTTTGGTTTAGTCTCACTGCTTTCAACAACCTTCTTTCCAAATCTGTGAGACTGGTATCAGCCAAAAAAGCTGTGATTGAGCTACATTTCACTGCATGCTCGCCATGAAACTGGGGTCAGATAAATTATGCAGCTCAGTGGTTAATATTGTAGAGCAGATAACAAGACAGCTATTTGATAGAGACCAAAACAGAGCGAGAAACTGAATTAATCATTCATCAGTTCTTGCCTCATGTTTGTACTGAGATCAACTTTAAAGTTACAATATGTCAATTTGTAGTGCTTTGTGTGTTGTTACAGTGCAAATGATTTAAAGACAGCACAAGTCAACTTATGTGCATGCACGGAGTAAAGTGCTGAAATAGTCATTGTCAGACCCAATGCTGCTGCATGATGCATCGAACACATAATGGGTAGAACCATCCAGCCGTCCATTTTTTTCACACTTATCCCATTCAGGGTCGTGGATGCGTGGAGTCTATCCCAGCTGTCACGGTGCGAGAGGCGGGGTACACCCTGGACAGGTCGGCAGTCTGTCCCAGGGGTTATTGGATGAATCACTCATGCAAATTATTTTTACAGCCTCAAACAAGGAATTTGAAGATACAGCGCTAGTTCAGTTAAAGTGCTTTGCCTCTCCGTAGGCCGTAGCTGACCTCATTGTCTGGGCGTGCCATGATGCTGATAGGAAAATTCATAAGCGCATTTTTGCATGAGCAACAATTACGTTGAGCCATTTTACTCCGCAACTGCATTTTATTATTATATTCTGAAGCTACAGGTCAAAAGGACGCCTAAGGTTTGCTCAAAACCTGCAAACAAACAAGTCAGAACAAAGCAGCTCAGTCAAAGCACAGGCTGGCTATTAGTCACGGTGAAAGACCTTTGTCGAGGCATTGTGTGTGCACCCTGCCAAGGGGGCAAAGTGTAAATGTTGTTAACACCACCATTAACCTGCGGAGGCTTTTCTGAATTTACAGGCAGCCCCGGTTTCCGTATTGCTGTTAATCATTTCTGTTTCGCTTCTGCATCAGGGAACCGCAGAGAGCCGAGTGTATTTCTCTCATTAGCTTTAAAGGTTTCAGGCTGCACAGAGACATTTTGTACAGGCTGCTCCCCCTCCAGTCAGAGGGCCATGGCAGCAGGACGGCGAACAGCCTCCTCTTGGAAGAAAGGAGGTTAGGATGATGAGTTGGCCCTCGCTGGAGTCAGCTCATCAGCAGCCGTTCCACACCCCGCTCTCTTTCTGATGCCAGCAAGACATACCCAGCTGAGACACACGCCGCTTCAGCTGCCTCGTACAACACGCTCTTTTATCCGTAGCCTTCATTTGAAATGCTAAGAGAGGCGCAACAGGAGGAAGCGTCTCGCCTCGGATCAAAGAGCTTCTTTGATTTGTCCTCTTTCCTTTTCTCTCTTCCTCTGTGTATTGCTGTGTGTGTGTGTGTGTGTGTGTGTGTGTGTGTGTGTGTGTGTGTGTGTGTGTGTGTGTGTGTAAAGCAGGTGATCCCGTCTCCTCCTCCTTACTCTAATTGCACTCCTTTCTTGTTCTGTATTGATCCCCTTCCTCCTCCTCCCTGTTGCCGTGGCGCTAAAACACAACTTTTTGTAAACCATAATATCACAGAGGTGCAGCAATAAAGGCCTGCTCCGCAAATTTCATTCTTGTTCTCCGTGCTTCTCTGTTTAACATCTGTCTCGCTCACAACCTCCACCCTTTAGATAACAGGAGCTATCCTGCTGGCGGTGGGAGTATGGGGGAAGCTGATGTTGGGCCCGTACATCTCTCTGATAGCCGACAACTCCACCAACGCCCCATACGTCCTCATCGGCACCGGGACAGTCATCATTGTTTTCGGCCTGTTTGGCTGCTTCGCCACCTGCAGAGGAAGCCCATGGATGCTGAAGCTGGTGAGAGGCTGTTGGAGGAGGAGGGGGAGGGTGGAGGGGGTGTTATGTTGCAGTGAATGGTGTCGATGCTGATTAATTAGCTTCAGGTCACATTATACAGGGAATAATGGTTGACCGCTATCCCACAGAGGGGTTGCTGCAGGGCACTTTGTTCCATTAATGACAGTCAAGTAAGTGTGTGTGTGTGTGTGTGTGTGTGTGTGTGTGTGTGTGTGTGTGTGTGTGTTGTGTAGTAGTACAACCATAGGCAAATGATATTCATCTAAAGCAGAGGGTTTTCACACTAACTATGCAAATCTCCCTCCTCCTTCCCTTCCTTCTCTGCAGTATGCCATGTTTCTGTCACTCGTCTTCCTCGCTGAGTTAGTGGCGGGCATCTCTGGATTTGTGTTTCGCCACGAGGTCAGTATGCATGTACCAATTTTCTTTCTTTTTTAAGACTGTAGCTCAGTAAACAGCCTTTCTCTTGTTAATGCCTGTGCTTACGATCGCCCCTAAACCGCAGATCAAGGGAACCTTCCGCAGAACGTACACCGAAGCGGTGAAGCACTACAATGCCGAGGATGAGGCGAGCCGTGCCGTCGATAACTTGCAGCACAAGGTGAGCCCTCATCCTCAAGATTAAATAAATGAGACATCGTCACTTTAAAGTGGTATTTTTCCCCACCGCCACCGTTGGAGTCTACATATGCTTATGACAGTGGAGCAAAGGGTTAAGGATGATTGTGGAGTTCTGGGGGGTAGGGTAGGACTACTCATGAGACCCACAGGCAGTGGAGTTAAAGAGGGTAGAGGAGGCTTGCATTGATTTGACACTGCAATGACAGCTGACAGCAGCAGGGGAAATAACAGTTTTAAAAAATCTTGACAGGACGGAAATGATTGGCTCGCACATAGGGACTGTGGCAAAATCAGATTGATTTAACTGTGGAAAGAACACGCCTCTGCCAGCTGATGTGATGCGTTTGGAGCAGGAAAGGAGCAAGAGATGGGATGAGAAAGAGAGAGAGGATATGAAAAAAATAGTCTTAGCATAAGCTAATAAAGAAGGAATGAACAGCTAAAGAATCCAGCAGCAGAAAATCAAAACACGCGACTAAAGCTAAAGGTTCACAGATGTCAGTACACGTTTTATTTTTCTTATTGCCAACAAAGCCAATCAAACAATTGTTTTTTAAGCACTGTTTGTGTACAAAAAGCCACATCACATTATAATCAGATCCATGACTCGAAGCCCTTTACAGCACAACCCACATTTGCCTGGCTTCAAAGAACCGAGGGTCAAACCGTCGCCACCCCAGTTAGTGGATGTCATGCAGTGAGAAATTCATTTCCTGTAGACCGAGAAATCTTTCTAGAAAGATTTACAAAGTGTCTAAATCAGGCATAAGACTATTAACAATGGGCACTGTTGCTTAGCTGCCATACACGGCTCATGCGTTTGAAGTGTGTCGGTCTGATGCTGAACTCACTCCTTTGTAAGCAGCGTTTGCTGAAAACGAAATGACACTGCGCTGCGTGGTGGTGTGGTGGTTAACACCCATTGTCTTACAACATTACAGTGTGTATGTTCTTCCTGTGTCAGGGTGGGTATTCTGGCTTCCTCCCACAGTCCAAAAAATGCTTACTAGGTTAATTGGTGACACTGAAGTGGGTGTAGGTGTGAATGGTTGATGTACATAAGAAGATGTGGGAAATTGTTGAACAAAGGAAACTGTATTTTTGACTCGTCGTTAATGTGGATTTATTGAAGGATAATTCTGATCTTTCTCCGTTTCCGCCTCTCTTCAGCTGCGTTGCTGTGGCGTTTATAACTACACGAGTTGGATTGAGAGCGTGTATTATCCCTCAAATGGCATTCCTGCCAGCTGCTGCTTCAACTCCTCTGACTGCCACCTCGAAGACCTTCGCAACGCGACTGTAGCCCCGAGCAAGGTGTACCACCAGGTCAGTTTTTGTATTCTGCTTTCCTCCTTCTCATCTATCTGCTGTCAGACAGTCGATAAAACTCACAGGTTAGAAGGTAGCTATGTTTACATCAGACGTCCTCACGTGCCTTTTCAAATCCCTGCCTTCTCCATATACTAACACCTGCCTCAGATACGTTCCCACATACCCTTCTTGCCTCTGATTTGCTCATATAACATGTCCCCGTACACTCTGCGGACTAACCTGCCCCCTGTGTTCCAGGGCTGCTTTGAGTTGGTCACTTCTTTCATGGAGACCAACATGGCCATTATCGCAGGAGTGACGTTTGGGATTGCGTTCTCACAGGTAGGACTTGAGGTTTTTGCAGGTGACGGCGTGCACGTTTGGTGTTTGGTGTATAAATAAATCCTCAACGCGCCGATTTTTCTGTCTTTCAGCTGATTGGCATGCTGCTGGCCTGCTGTCTGTCCAGGATCATCACAGCCAATCAGTATGAGATGGTGTAGCTGATGTGAGGTGGCAGGTAGGAGCCATTAAAAACCAAAGATCACCTCTCCAAGTAAATTTAAAGAAAAACGTTGTTCTCTCTATTCTACAACGTGAACTCTTCTTTATCTTTCAGAGAGGGAGTCGAAGAGAATTAGAGACGAAGACTCTTGACACACGACCAGAGTAAATTCCTGAAACTCTACCCAACATCCGAATTGGAATTTACGTCCCTCCATCTCTCTGCCTGTGATCTTAATGTAATATCTTAATGTATCTTACTGTAAAGCACCATTCCATGACTCACTTGCACCACAGCTTTCTATACCACACGTTCCATCGCGGCTCGATGTAGAAGTTGCTCACCGGCACGTATCTCAGATCAGGACGGCCCACGGCAAGCAGGTAGACCAGAGTTGTCTTGAGTGGACAGCGGTGTTGGTCTCGGGTAGATGAGCGGGCTCAAACTTGGTTTCTCAGTTGGCTGCAGCATGCTTAAAAAAAACACTGCACATGTTTGTACTAAATGACTTTGCTAAAGCTTGAGAGCAATCCTTTTACTAGGTAGATTCAGTTGTTGCATTTGACTTTGCTGTCGCTCATCCTTGTGTATCCTTTGGTTGTGACACTTTGTGAATTGATTACATGCACTGAGGAGTATGTTTTAGGTTTATATGAAAAGTGAGGAAGCCGAAAAAGAAGGGGAAAGATTATTTTTAACCTTAAGACAAAGCATGATATATTTTTCTTGTCTAAAATAATGTATTTAGGTAGTTTAAATATGAATGGCACAGGTTTAATGGTATTTGGAAACTTTAGTGTGGGATACAAATACCAAACTACAAAATAACAGTCAACTTTGCGCACATTTTACAGTCTGTCATTAGTTTTACATGGAATGAAATGCAGTCCGTTCAGCGAGTCACACCTTTGAGGTCAGTCTAAAAGGCCTGGTCACACCAATTGCCAATTAGCATATTAGTGTAGATAGCATCTCTGCATCTAAAAGAAAAGGACACTCTTTCAAGGATGCCTGTGTTCCCATGTCGGACAGAGAAGACAGGCGGTTTGAAAGAGGATTTAAGGAAGCCATCTATGTCCACTGTGAACAACCAGCGTTGAACAGAGGTGGTGGTTTACGACACCAACTGTCTATAATCCAGTTTTGAGATCCCTTCCCAGACGCCTTAACGCCCACTCACATCCTGGGCTTTTTGACCTCAGGAAATCACATGATAGGGTGGGGCTAGGTTTCACAGTGGGTTCACCTGAAACCTTGGTCCACACCTGTTTTCACACCTTGGCTCGTGTGATTAGGTAGAGGATCAATAGAGGTTCCATGACCTTCTTGGGGACATTCCCATAGGACTTCACTAGTTGCTCTTAAAAGTGAAGAAGCTTCTCGGATGAGAGGTGAAACGTCTTCAAGGAAACTTAAAGAAGTCCAGACGCTTGTCTTTCCAAGCTCCTTAGATTAGTGTAGATGCTAACTCAATCAGTTTCTACAAAACACAGATTATACCATTGAAAGCTGTCTGATAACTGTATCTACATTTTTTGGTTGGTAGATGAGGGTTAAAATAAATATTAAAGAAAAAAATTGGACTATCCAGTTTAAAATTTAAAAAAACCAAAACAGAAAAACATGCAAACGTCACCTAAACATCTTTTCACTACTGCAAGTTCATTTAAATGTACTGATTTTGCTTCAATACTGGTGTGACCGGGTTTTTTCAGGCTCTGAATTAGACCTCTAGTAATTAGTAATCGTTAAGGTTACTGCTCTTCAGCTTCCTTTGAGGAGCAATCAAAGGCCACATGTGCTTCAGCTGGGGTTTTTTGAGGGTCATACTTGTAAACCTGAATATGAATTAAATACAGAAAAAAGGCCCTGACTTTTACACAGTCTCTGCAAGCACATTTAGAGTGTTGCTGATATAGAGAACAGATGGAAAACAGGATGAAAGTTGTCTGCAAGGGGAAACAAGCACTTATATGACGCATACTGACACTTTAGTGATGTTTTAGTACTCGTGTTCGTGTTATTATATGTAGAAAATGTAGAAATTACTGGCAGATTTTAGCTTTAAAGAGACCCGTCTTACTTTTTGCTTCGTTCTAGTGGTTAAGAGCTCGCAGAGCAGCGCTTTACAGCTTGCTAGTGTCATGTCGAATCATTAGGGTCGCCAATTGTTTTCTGCTGGTTTGAGCTAACGTCAGCGGTCTGCTACGGCAAAGGATGCCAGATTTAGCAAGAAGACACGTGTTCATCTACTGTATTGTGTGTGGTGCCATGCAACATGCTTAATCATCGTCATCATCAGCTGTAGATATGTATCGGAAATGTAATTTATATGACATACCGTTTCTCATTCTAATATGCTAATCAGTATAAATGTTGTGTCACAGTTTTGAATCCACACTTTGTGCTGTATTTGTTTAATAGTTTATAGGAAGACCCCGCACTGAAAAAAAGAATCGTGGCCGATGTTTCGTTGAGAGTAACGCGCAGTTTAGCTGTGTATTTATTAGAGTTCGGTTGGCATTCAGTTTACACTTTCACCAAGTGGTTTTTTTATCTCTCTTTCGGTATGCGTGTGCGTGTGAGACTTTGTTCCTCTGTAGCTGACTATCTCTGTAACTTTGAGCGTGCGTGTAAGCGAGAGAGTGCGAGCGTCTAGACTCTGTGGATCCTGTTGTTATTCGGTTTTGGTCAGTATTTGGTTGTGGCTTTTCAAAGCTTGTTGCTTTTGAAACTGTATATTTATTTAGTGAATGTATGTTTTCCAGCACCCTTAAACTTACTTTACCTTTCTCTGAACTGATATTTTTCCTGTAAATACTAAATTGTAATACCATCCTGCTTACACATGGGGTCACTAGACACCCGAAGAAGAACTGCACCATGCCGTCTACTATCGACTAAGTCACCATCAGTGGTCTTATTATCAATAAATATACAGAATAACACTTTTGTTTGCACTGTGGTCATTTTGCTTCAACAGAAACGTAACTGGGGATTTTTTTCATTTACAGTACTGTGCAAAAGTTTGAACCATCCCTCATTTATTTATATGCTGCAGGGAAAATGGCAACATACATTGACAGCCACTCTTCCGTTGACACCGTTTCTGATGAGTCTTCAGTGAAGAAGAGTAAGGTGCATCTCTAAGGTTTCTTTTGGACTTTTTCAAATTTCTTAATGTGACAAGACTTTGAGATACCTTTTGCATGCTGTAGATATTATTTGTTTTGTGACATGCTGCTTGTAACAAAATGCCTAAAGATACGATTTACAATTTGTTCCGGCTCATCCCTTGAATTGGGTGTCTTTTTTAAGCTTGAATGAGTCATGGGTCGGTGTTAAGTGGAAAGAAACATTCCTCTGAAAACGCTCAGGTGCAAGGACTGCACTGGAAATGAGTGAAAAAGTAGCCAATGTCCAAAGAAAAACTTTGAAATACCTTCAGAACTGCTCCTCAAGACCACTTCAAAAAAAGAAAAACTACAATAAAGTCTATTTTATTTTTTATTGCTTTTGACTTTTAAGAATTTTGCACAGCATTGTAGCCATTTCTGCATCATGATTTCCTGTTGTTTCCATAAGACTTCTTCTAACAATGTAGATTGCCATCACCAGTGTGTGAATGTGTGTGTGAATGCGTGGATGACTGAATGTGTAAAGCGCAAATACAGGCCATTTACCATTTAACACGAAAAAATCCCCACTCGGTTCACTAAAAATATTCACTTAAAATTGGGAAATTATATCTAATCCGTATTTGATTCACTAGATGGCTCGTAATTTGACCAGTGTATAGGGCCTCGGTTTAAACGAGAAGTAGAGAAAAGATCGGATTAAAAGTAACAACATGTTAAACGTAGGCTAAATAGACGACAAGCACCTATATGGTGTTATAATAATACTCCCTAAAAAGTAAAATGAAAATAAAATAAATGAACAAAAATGTAAATTTCCATTAAACGTGATCTCATCCTATAAATAATTTCACTTATGTTCTTCCAGTCCTTTCAAAAGCTCCCTCTTCCCGCATCGCTGCACACTCGCTAACGGCGCAGGTGGCCGTTTCTTTTATCTTATCACGCCGTGCTCGTCCACATGATGGCGCCTGGTTATCAGCTCAAAACGGAACTGTGGAGAGATTTCACCGAGAGAGAGAGAGAGCGTGCGGAGGGAGGGGGGAGAAAACACGGAGGGGAAACCGCATTTGTCAAAGCGCCGCACACACATTCCCCGGTCTCTGTGTGTCTGTTTTCCTCCCCTGCTGCAGCTGCTGCTGCTGCGGGCTGCGTCGGAAACAAGGCCGGAAAAAGCGGTGCGACGATAGGGGAAGAGAGGCTGATACTCGCGGGGAGACCGCGCCGACCGACTGGGCTCGCTCCAATCTCGTTACGCAAATTACCGGCAGAGCGGCGCGGCAGTGGGTCCGCTAATGGAGCGTGCGTGCCGTTGCCTCCCGCGCCCTGCCTCGCCCTCGCCTCCGCCTCCCGACTGCACATAATGGGTTATAGGCTAGAGGGAGGCATTCACTGGGGAAGCGCTATTACTCACACGCACGGCAGACTCACAAAGCGCCGCTCCAGAGCGCGTCGGTGTGTGCGCAGTGCAGCGGGTCTAATTATGAGGAGATAAGTCTGCTTATCGTCAGTCCACTTTAAAAAAAAAAAAGAAAGAAAGAAAGAAAAGAAAAAAGAAAACACAGAACATAAGGAGAATTTAGAGTCTTTGCCTTCTGAAATGAGCCAGCGGACGGAAATGTGACCGCTCTGAGTGCGCGGTGGATCAGCAGGGCGGTCAGAGAAAACTACTGAGGTCAGGAGTTGTTGGGGGGCCCCTCTCCACCCACGCCCCCCCCCCCCCCCTCACCCCCAGACTGCAAATTATAACCAGACTCTGTGGGAAAGCCTCAAGTCTCTTTTAATATCCTTTAAAACCCGTTTGTTGGGCTGTGTTAATTAGGTCAGAGTATTGCAATAAAGTTCAATACCTGAAGCCTCAAAATGACCGTACAGTTGAATCAATGTCCCTCTTAAACAGTTTAGAGCAATAACGATCATGGAAAAAAAAGTTAACTGCTACGACTGTGTTCATTTTAGCTTAGTATAACCATGCCGCATCCTATTTTTCCCCTAAATGCGATGGTGTGCACAAGACTCTTTCCCTATGAAGTTGCATCTACCTCACTTTAAGCCTTCTTTTAAGCAGCTTGACTTGACCTAGTTATTGTAGTTTGGCAGAGACTTTTCTCAAAAGCATCGGGACGCTACCAAAGTCGGAAAAGCACAGTGACATATTTAAAACTGAGGACGGCTTTCCTCCGATGAGCTTTAGCAGTCGCATTGTCCTGTGCCGGGGACATACGTCATTGTTTTCATGGGTTTTATGACTGCACTGTTCAGTTTACTCTGCAGACTTTAGAGAGTTCATTGCACAACAAACAGTCATCAGTAAGATGTTTTATTCAATAATTCAAAGATGCAGAAATCTGAAAAGAAAACCAAAAACCAATCTTAACCAAGGTCACTGTGGCAAGGTGTTGATACATTCAGCAATCCCGAAATTCTCCTCCTGACGCTCAAACAGCTTCATTATTTTTAGGCCTTTTAAAAACACAAAAGTCCACAGCTTTGAAATGCGTGTTAACGTAATTCTTTTGGGGTAACTAAATAGTCCAAATGTGCTTAAAATTTACAAATAAGTTACAATATTACATGAAATCCAACAACTGTACAAAAACAGGGAAATCACTCACTGCAGTATTGTTGTAAAGTTTTCAAACCCCTGTCGTGGTATCCCAAGTATCTGAAGTCCTTCTTACCTGAAAACATTATGTCATTAGAAGGTTCCCATTTATTGTCGTAAATGCTAATGTGCTACATTGGACGCTGCTCCTGATTTGTCTCAGTGATGGCTGCCAGCCTTAAGCGGCGCACGAGGTTCAGTATGAAAGACAAGTTGGGTTTTTTTAAATGGCTGATTAAAAATCGTATTAAATCCACAACAGGAATTACTTTGACTGCTTCGACACACACCCACACCCACACCCTACCGTCTGCACCCCACGGTGACGCCTTATTTACTGTCTTATAAAGTAAAATAGGAGGCCTGCCCCATTCCACCTGTCTGTTTGTGATGGGAGC